TCGATTACGTGACGTCATGCAGATTAGGGGTTTGATAAAAGCCTTTGCAACAGTGACTGAAAATCGAAATCATCACGGATGGCTGATACAGCACGATTGTCATCAATTGTATTACACATACAATTTACATGTATTTACTACTAAGTATATAATAAAGTGTATATGATATGGCTTTTTAAATATCACACAACGTATCAACCCTCATCCAGAGTTCTTGGGGTTATATTGATGTCTCGGGTTGATACGGATGTGATAATGAAAAAGCCATATAATATTCTCTATTTAGCATTGGAAACTCCCGATTGCCCTTGTTCATCATCCTAATTCAAATATTTTCGCGTTGTGCATCTTAAAACCGGGGAACTTTGATTGTTAACAAGTAACGACTTAGAAAGGCACAAAATATCGAATTCCCCAGCTAATCAAGTGGACGAATTTCAGGTTTCTAGAGGATGCAGTAAAGGACACTGCCAGAAAATGGATTAAGCTCGAGTCAGATGAACCTTATCTAAACAATTTATCTGAATACATCTAAACTGTTATGGCATGCATTCAGAGGCCCAATTTAGAAAATTTAGATGTACATCGAAACACACGAGTGTCTAACCCATTCAAGAAGCTCGAATTTGTGGATGCTTTATCAATATATATTAGGAATATCACACAAAATACTTTTAATTGGAAGCAATTGTGAAAATCCCACACATATCCTACAGCCTTCACGAAACTCCTTTCTTTTATCTTTTGCTATTTATAACAAAATAAGGACGGTGGAAATCTTACGTTATCATAATGGATACCTAAACATTACAAAAATCTTCATAAAAAATAATAACAGTCAGGTCGTTTAGATTTTCAACAAAATATCTTTCTAAAATTCTTACTTACATTCTTGATATAGTAAAAGATGGCCTACAAGAATATTGTGATGAGGTTAGTCAACCAGTGTTAATCAGATTTGGATATTTAAAAGTTCTTAAAAAGAATAACTCCAAAATTGTAAATCACATTCTTTACAAGTATGCAATTAAAAAATTGATTGTCTAGGCTCTACACATCTATTCCCCACACCCAATTAAAAGACTGACTTCATTGCCATATTAAACAAATCTTTATCTGCAAAGATACACATTCCTTGTTTTAGGCCATGAACAATCTTACTTTGTGAAAAACCACACTGATTCTAATAACAAGTACACCGAAAATGATATTAAAATGCTGGACTATTTGATCGACAACATATTTGTTTATTTTGATTGATTAATATTTTAGCAGACAGTCCGTATTCCAATTGTTTATCCAAACTTGAAGACTTATTTTGTACTCATATGAAGCAGGATTCACGGAAAACCTTGTCAAAGACAAAAAAAAAAAATCGTTACATAAAATCTTTTTCAGATAAATGGATGATGTCATGTCACGTAAAAGCCACATTTCAGTAAGAGCTTGTATGCATTTTTCCCAGTGAACTCGAGATTAGGGATACGACCGAAACAGAAGGCCTGCTTCATATCTTGATCTTTTTCTCGATATTGAAAAAGATGAACGACTTCAAAAAAGAATCTAGGACAAACGCGATGATTTCAACTTTCTCATGATCAACTTCCCATTTCTCATTAGGAACCTACCCTACCCTTTGTCACTTCGTATTGCGTTTACATATCTAAATTAATATGTTATGCTCGTGCACGTTCACATTATACGCATCAACACCAGAGAGTACAAATGACCGAAACCGACACTAAATTAGTTTAACGGTCACCATCACTAATTGGTTGACAGATCCAATTTTCCTGTGTCGCAAATCATTATTGACATGTTTTCGAGGACATAGATATTTAGATACCAGAATAATCTCTGATTTGAAAATTTACCGATTGTGTATTATTCCAGATTTCCACATTTTGAATATATATTGATTCGCATGGCGAATGTCGCTTATCATGTCACAATGTTCTTAAAAAAAACCCCGATTAATAGCAAATATTGAAATCCAAGAATATATAAATGCTAGTTATTTTTATTTTAATCTAGTATTGTTTAATACGTTTTGATTGCCTTATACGTTTTGATTGTTTCGCTAAAGCATTGCCTTCATACGTTTCATTTGCTTCGGTCCAGTTTTAATTCTTACTTTTGAAAAAAACTAGAACGAAACAACCAAAAAACGCATAAAAACAATACATATACTTAATCAAACAAAAGGTATAGAAACAATTCTAAACCAAAACAATAAAAACGATTCAATTAAGTTTTGATTTGTCTGTATACGTATTGGTTGTTTCGGTCTGGTATTTTCTCTACATTACTTTTTGTATTTCATTGTTTCATTATAACTAAAACGTTTCGGTTCAGTTTTAGTTTTTCTCTAACCGTTTTTGATGTTTTGGATTAGTATTGTCCCTATATGTTTTTCTTGTTTTGGTCTAGTATTGTCTCTTTACGTTTTGGTTGCTTCGGTCCAGTATTGTCTCTATACGTTTTTGTTGTTTCTGTCTTGTATTGTCTGTAATACGTTTTTTGTCTACGTTTTTGTTGTTTCGGTCTAGTTTTAATTAAGCTCATTTTTTTATGTTGTTGTTTCGGTCTAGTGTTAATTTAGTTCTATTCGTTTTTGTTGTTTGGATCTTATATTGTCACGTTTAGTCATTTCAGTCTATTATTTTCTCTATACCTGTTTTTTTTTTTTGTCAAGTACAAAAAAATGTATATATTGTCTCTATACGTGTTGGTAGTTTCGGTCTAGGTTTTATTACGTTCTATACGTTTTGGCTGTTTCGGTTTTGTATTGTCTCTACGTTTTGTTTGTTTCGGTCTAGTATTGTCTTTATACGTTTCTGTTTTGGTGCAGTCTTTAAACTGTGCACCACTTATTGTGGACCTGTTTTTGTATTTTTATGAGTTACAATTTATAACTAAAATCGGCAAAGAACCATCGAAACAACATCTGATACAAAAATTTAACAATACTTTTAGATATTTGGATGATATATTGGCTCTCAATAATGACGACTTCAGTATGTATACTAAAGAAATTTATCCTGTTGAACTTACTTTAAATAAAGCTAATACTAACAATGACCACTGTCCTTTCCTCGATCTTGATATCTATATCATTAACGGGAAGTTTAATACAAAAATTTATGATAAAAGAGATGATTTTTCATTTCCTATCGTTAATTATCCATTTGTAGATGGTGACGTTCCCTTGTCACCATCTTATGGTGTTCATATATCTCAACTTGTACGATTCGCTCGTGTATGTAACAACGTATTAGATTTTAGCGAGAGAAATTTATGTATTACTGAAAAATTATTACACCAGGGTTTTCGATATCATAAACTAGTCAAAACATTTACTAAATTTTATCATCGGTATAAGGACATCAATTGTAAATATAACTCAACATGCAGACATCTTATACGTTCGGGTATTTCACATCCAATCTTTTATGGTAATATTCTTTACAAAGCACAAAAATGTCAGTATTCACCTCAAAAGCTAACAAAACCTTTAAACAGACTTATTAAGAAGGGATATAGTTACGATACTGTTGTCAGGTCATTAAAGATTGCATATTTTGGCTTTAATATTGATTCACTTAAAGGGTCTTTGCATCGGAATTAAACATATTTATTCTAAAACCAGTTGTTGGCATGACACGGGTTATGTTCTTCTCATATATTTTATGATGGTATAATACTGAACCCCTAACAGGAGGGATTGTGCCTGATATTCATATGATGAAGACATAATCTTTCAATCAGTTTAATTGAGGTCTGGAGCTGGCATGTCAGTAACTGCTAGTAGTCTGTTGTTATTTATGTATTATTGTCATTTTGTTTATTTTCTTTTGTTTCCTATTCTGACATCGGGACTCGGACTTCTCTTAAACTGAGTTTTACTGTGCGTACTGTTGTACGTTTGTTTTTTCTACATTGGCTAGAGTTATAGGGAGAGGGTTGAGATTTCAAAAACATGTTTAACCCCGCCGCATTTATGCGCCTGTCCCAAGTCAGGAGCCTCTGGCCTTTGTTAGTCTTGTATCATTTTTAATTTTAGTTTCTTGTGTATAATTTGGAGTTTAGTATGACGTCCATTATCACTGAACTAGTATACATATTTGTTTAGGGGCCAGCTGAAGGACGCCTCCGGGTGCGGGAGTTTCTCGCTGCATTGAAGACCCATTGGTGGCCTTCGGCTGTTGTCTGTTCTATGGTCGGGTTGTTGTCTCTTTGACACATTCCCCATTTCCATTCTCAATTTTATTTACTATGCACTTTACGTTTTTTGGTGTTTTGGTTTAGTATTGTCTCAATACTTGATTGTTGTTTATACGTTTTAGTTGTTTCGGTTTGGTATTGTCTCTATACTTTTTTTTGTTATTTCGGTTTAGTATTATCTCTAAACATATTAGTTGTTATTATCAAATATTGTCTCTATGTGTTTTGGTTGTTTAGGTTTTGTTTTGTCTTTGTATAATTTTGATGTTTCGGTCAAGTATTGTATCATACGTTTTTCAAGTTTGTCTCTTTTTACTGCGTTCGATGAGTCTTTCTGCTTTTACCAGGAATGATAAGAGCTAAATTTAGGTTATATATCACCAGCCCAGTTGTCAACACTCCTGTGTTGCCATGAATTATCATGGATATTGTCATATTTATAAATCAACTGTTTACAAAACTTTGATTGCTCGAAATACTATGGCATTTCTACCCCAGGAATAGAATACCTTAACTGTATTTAACACAACCTTTTGAAATTTTGGGACGTCAAAGCTCCTCATCTGCAAACTTTTATTTGACCTTAAACGTTTTAATTCGAGCGTCACTGATTCTTTAAAAGTATATATATACTTTTAAAGGATAATCGTATTTTATATAGACTATTTTTGGGAATCTAATTGAAAAACATATAGTGTTTAATAGCCATACGTCTTTGGATTCATCCATGACATCCGGAAAGATGATTTTTTAGGAAAAATAGAAAAAAGAGAACAGATATTTAAGATTTATTTAAGATTCGTGCAATAAATAGTATACATAAAATAAATGGTATGTCACAGAGTTTCTAATCCTTTGTATCATAACAGAATGAAATATGAAAAAAAAAATGTACGCATGTATTCTTCGTCTGAATTTTATCAATGAAAAACTGAACTAAGGAAATACAGAAAGACATTGATATTGTAACATAGATATTTTATACAATGTCATTTTAAGACGTCTCCATATTCAATAAGCATACACCACTCTTCGAATTAAAAGTATGTATTGTACCGTTAACGAATATGTTTATCTAATCATCATTTTCCAAAAACGATTCAAATGAAATAGAGAAGATTACACAATGAATATCTTTTCTATTACGGGTCGTGATTCATATCTATTCCACAATTAATGAAATTCTGTTAAAAAATGATGAAGCTTGCTTCTACCAGATGAAAGATACCTGGCAACTTGATCAATATGGTTCGATCGAAGAATATTTCCTCGATAAGTTCAATCATTTGCAAAAACAATGCACATTGTACTGTTTAGCTTCCTGGAGTTTGTCATCTCCTTTATCTTATTTGAATGAGTTATACAATAGTGTTTTTTTTTTAAATTATTTAGTTTTTGCAAACTTTCCACTCAAACTAATACTTTATTTAAGGGGTTATCATTCCTAAATATATCAGTCTCTATACTGTTTGTCTTTCATATTATAAAGTGCACAGATATTCAAAAACAGATGTTGGTTTTGCACAAGCATGTACGAAAAACAAAATTTACATAAAACATGCATATGCAATTTTAAATGAGGAGAACGATTCTGACGAAAATACGACAAAGATCATTTGAAAACTTCAAAAGCAATATAATAAAAAAGAGGGAAAATCATAAAGATCCATACACGCGTTATCAACACATAAGTCTCTATATGAAATTTTATGCTATCAAAGATAGATAAACTCATTGTAGACTATTTCTTTTTTGAAATATTTTGAATCTTTATTCCAGAAAAGTTTTAAAAGTTCAGTTTAGGAAGCACAAACTTCCTCCTCATAAACTTTATAAACATAGTAGAAGTGCATTAAGTAAATATATTTAGTGTTCAAGTCGTTCGACCAAACGTTTTTGTGTATAAAAAAACAAAATCCACCATACCCTTTATCATTTTATGTGTATAGTGGTAGACAAGAGATAGACACATACAAAGCCAGGTAATCTTCTTTCATTCTGAAAAATAACAATAAAGACATTATAATATTGTGTGTTTGAAAGTCAAAAAGGAAACACGAAGGAGCTTAAAATGCAATATGTTCACTAACTTATTGTCAAGATTTCTTTTGAATAATCTGAATCTTCGCTCTTTAATCGGTGGGAAACTGGTATATAACCCTACGTCCGAAATTTCGACAAGAATCGTGAAATTCAATTGCTCTCTTCAGTGAATTAGTGTGTATATTACACACATTAACCAATGTTTTAAAAAATAAGTATTTACTCAAAACATGTTACCTTTGTATGCATACAATGCGGAGGTAAAATATTTAAAATATTGTTTTTTTTTTATTCTATACCCTAAACCTCCAGCAACTCAAAATATGCATTGGTAGTAATGAAAATCGATATTAAATATACCCAAGCTCCGTTCAAACCACTTCACGGGATTAACTATCAATCACAACATAGACACCAGTTGAATTGTAGTTTCTATGACAGATGTATAAAGTTATCAAGTGGAAAATGTCTAAAATTTTATTTTGTAATTCATACTAATTCGCCGTTTCTGAATATAACGGACTGTAGGTGATTTCATTGTTTGTACTCCAAAATTAAAGTAACGTCACATCATTTGATGGATTTCCATTGTCTAAGACATTTTGTTACAAATCCCGTTTAGGTGAACGAATTTAATGTATTACCCATGATGCATTAGATTCCAAAACGAGGGTTTCTGAAGCACTGCCTACTATCAGGATTATTCACTAGATGAATGACGTTCCACCAGTTGTGAAATCGACCCAGTAATTGAAAATCAAATGAAAAGAGTATTCCGCCCAAAACGTTTCTAGCGACCGTCTTAATCTTGCTGTAAAATGAAAGTTTTGCTTCATGTTGAAAGACTCACTAATGACCTTGAGATGACAAACGGCATTAAAAGTGATGTGTATGTGATTTTGTGTCACAAATTGATACACCCTATCCTTTCGTTTCATAAAAAAATGACAAGTGTCCTAACAATATGATAAATTGATAATCGTTCCGAGTCTAAAGGGCATCTTTTCAAATATGGCCAAAACAGTTGAAGTAATGACATTGAGACCTACCATCAGATTAGAAAAAAATGCGATCAATTAGCTGAATGCCTTTTCTTGATTTGCTGGAGTCTTTTGTGAAATAGCCGCAAAGGTGACATTCTCTTTCGGAATGATCTTCGTTTTCTACCCGGACTATGCGGAGACATCAAATAGTAATATTGGTCTGCAATGGATGATGCCCATTCCGTTCGGCAAGCACCTCCTAACTCCACTGTACATGTGCGTTTACTAGAAAAATAAGACCGCATTATCAGATATGATTGCTTTATAAGTTTTAAATAAAAAACGTATATGCTCCCAAAGAAAAAGACAATAGAACAAATATGTAAAGATCTCAAGATGTTGTACACATGCAAATACTTGCCCGTTCAAAATTAAAAGATCTTTTAATTCTGTTTTGTGTATATACAACGTATCAATCTTTTTTTTCTGTGTGCCGAACATATACACTTCAGCTGAATGTTTAAATATAGTTGGAGTCAATTCATCTTTGAAGTTAAAAATACAGAACTTCAGTTTTAGAATGTTTGTACTTTACTTTGAATACACATTTATTTCTTGGGTCCGGATGGTTATATAAACATATACTACTAGACATTTTCAAAAATCGTCTACACAGACACTTACACCGACACCGATACAAAAATAAAGGGACCGTATCAAAATGTTGATACTTACTAAATGAATGACCTCGTAAAACTTGGCTGCAGAGATAAAAAATATATTCTGTAATTTTTCTTATATATTTGTTTATTCGGAACCGGTTATAAAAATGCAAAAAGTAAAAAAAAAATGCTAAAATTACAAAAAAATAAAATTTGACAGAACTTAAACATTGTTAAAACAAAAAAAACATTTTGACAAAATTAAAAAAAAAAATATATATGAAGTTATATGAGTGCCAATGAGATAACTCTCCATCCAAGTCACAATGTGTAAAAAGTAAACAATTATAGGTCAAAGTACAGCCTTCAACACGGAGCTTTGGCTCACACCGAAGAACGTTTCATAAAAAATACATTCGTTTTATTGGTGTAATCAGGGGTGTACGGATTTTTACAATGTATTTTAAACAACAGTGTAAAATTCCGTACCCCCTGATTACAACAAAATAACTAATAATATCATCTATATATCTATACGTTATGTTTCACGCAATAAAATTCTTTACACGTTCCTGTTTCTGATTAAAGTTTTATTAATTTACACCCCCCTTTTTTATAAAGTACAATATTAAGATCAGTCATTTATCAGCTACTAAACAGAGTCAATAAAGAAGCAACTCATTCAAAATAAATGTTTTATACAGTTTCTGAAATGTTAATTAGAAAAAACATGATATAAATTCCTGTGGTCGTTGTACATATTGAGATGACCCCTTCTCAAAAAGGTTACCTGTAGACATACGCATAGGTGTAAGCGTCGGTATTGAATAGTTTTCGAAAATGTCTAGTAATCATTAGACATCACCATTCTATATTCCGAATCTAATAAATATAATGGAAATGATGTTTTATAGAAATAGAAATTATAGATAAATTAGCCTAAGTGACTTTCAAATACTTAGTAACCTGGTTTTATGAATGTGATCCTTCAGTTTTCTTTTGCTGTTTGTTATAAAATTATTAATGTGTTGGAAGACCATATGTCATGTAGATTTTTTCCGGTATTAAACTTAAGAAAGACCATGGTTTTTATGGTATAATGATTGCTTTATGTAGGATCGGGAATATGACAATGTATAAAAATATTTCTGTTTACCCAAGAAATGGTTTATATTTACCTATTTTCTATAATGCTACCATTTGCATCTTCTAACAATGTACGAATGTTCTTAAGGTCAAGGCGCTTTCTCACTATATCTTCTATTAACCTGAAGAAGAAATTGAAGGATATTTAGATTTACCAAACTACTGAACGTAATATGATAAAATACATATGGCTATGTGTAACATATAATGTGTTTTACTATGGCAGATCGTCCTTTATATGATATTTCAACAGACAGTTGGTATTCCAATGGGTACTTATTGTGCACACCTTCTGGCCGACTTGTTCTTGCACTCGTATGAAGCAAAATATATTCAAAACCTTCTAAAAGACAAACAGAAAAAGTTAACTTTCAGATATATTGATGAATAACCCATATTTCAGTCAGTACTTGCATCTCATATATCCCAGTGAACTTTAAATTAAGGATACTACTGATACCAGAAGGACTGCCTCATACCTTGATCTTTTCCTCAATATTTACACAGATGGACGATTTCACACTAAAATCTATGAAAAACGGGATGATTTTAACTTCCCAATTATCAATTTCCCATTACTCTGCATTAACATACCCTCTGCTCCGTCGTATGGTGTGTACATATCTCAATTGATTCGTTATGCTCGTGCATGTTCACACTATACTGACTTCATATACAGGAGTATGCTCCTTACGCAGAAACTTCTCCAACAGAGTAATGAGGAGGAAAGATTAAAAATGACACTCCGTAAACTTTATGGACACCATCACGAATTGGTTGATCTATACGATGTGTCTGTGTCTAAACTAACTAATGACATTTTTAATACGTCTAAAATTGTGGTTTAACATCTATGTCGTCTGTGTGCTAAGTACCGAACGTGACCTATTCCCGAATATGACTGTTATACCGAGAGTGAATTTTCATTGCTATACGACTTGTCTCGGTATTTTGTACATCCAACATTCATGTATTTATTTTTGATGTTTTTGTTATGGTTTCTGTTGAATAATGTGCTACGTCGTATCGTTTGTTGTCCGAATAATTATAAAATTGCCTTTCAATACCATCTTTGTCATATTCCCGAATATGACTGTTATACTGAATGTGAATTTGCATTGCTGTGCGGCGTGTCTCGGTGTTTTGTACATCCAACATTAATGGATTTATTTTGATGTTTCTGTTATGGTTTCGGTTGGATAATCTGTTTTGTCTTGTCGTTTGTAGTCCAAGAAATTATAAAATTGCCTTTCCATACCATCATTGGCATGTGAATTGTTTGGACGAATATTGTGAAAATAATTGTATAATGTTCGAGATTGCATGTTAGTTACGTAAGCGCCTCACTGTTTTTGATGTCCTATGGTGTTTTTCGTTGATGGAATATGTTCGTTGTTGTTCTGTGGTTTGCATGTTGTGTCGACTTTTATATTATTTGTTTGTGCGTTTCTCTGTTATGAATGGTCTTGCGTGTTTTTGTGCTGTATTTCTGTCACGTAGTGTTTTAGCGATATTTTTTAACATTGTCATAAAGCTGTTGCCTTTATTTATAGGTGATGATATCTCATTTCAGACTACACATAATTCTGATTGAGCAGTTGATGCGACAGTATTTAGTTCTCTCAAAGAAGTCACTCAAACTGAAAAAAAGCTTTTGAGAACGAACCATCTGTCGTATATTCATTATTTGTTTGTGCGTTTCTCTGTTATGAATGGTCTTGCGTGTTTTTGTGCTGTATTTCTGTCACGTAGTGTTTTAGCGATATTTTTTAACATTGTCATAAAGCTGTTGCCTTTATTTATAGGTGATGATATCTCATTTCAGACTACACATAATTCTGATTGAGCAGTTGATGCGACAGTATTTAGTTCTCTCAAAGAAGTCACTCAAACTGAAAAAAAGCTTTTGAGAACGAACCATCTGTCGTATATTCATAAATGTTTTATTATGATCGATTTAAAATCACATTAAAAGAAAGTTAATTATCATGAAAATAGAAAAATCAAATCAAAAGTAGGAACGTCTTAAATGCTGATATTCTTCAGGGATTGTTGACGCAAGTTAAATATAAATCTAATGATGAGGTGGACATAAGTTATGCATACACTTTTCAGACGTTTAATACATACAAGAAATTATAAGATAAACCGATTATATTTTCTTACGATGCGAATATCGGTCTATTGAACATAGCAGGATGTGTACTCATTTCACAGTCAGTATGTGTGACAACATTAAAACCATGATGGCTGTATTGTAAATAATTAATTCAAAGAATGTTACAGAGTAGATATGTTATGAGGTTCTGAAGCTCATTTCAAATATCGGCTATTAGTGTCAGTAAAATAAAAACTCAAAAGATTTATTAAAATGTAACAAAGAATTCAATCAAAATGCTTTTAATAATAATTTCATAATGTTCACTTTCCGAGAGTTTTCAACCATAAGATATATAGCGCTGTCAATACAGCAGCAATAATTTCCTATCATTATTACCCAAATACATATTACTAATTATCTGCAAATTATTTTTTTGCAAAAACATTTTAGTTTATTTGATTTGACATAAGGATTTATTTGATTAAGCATCATTGTCTTTGTATGGGAGATGATATAAGGGACCCATTTGTCATGTTCTGTGTCACAAGGAAATTACTTGTTTACATTCAGTGATCGAGAGTTATCGACTTATCACAAGTAAATATTTGGGAACTCATAAAACAATTTGCACAAATTAAATCAACATAAATGGCAATGGATCTTGTTCATTAGATGTCTATCTTACTGTAAATGCTACTAATTAGTCTCAAGAGACTCTTTATTCGATCATAATGAAAATTTAGTAGAAGCTATTATAGGGAAATAGTTGCAGATCAGTGGGTTATTCAATCGCAAAATATCAGAGGTCATATCAAATTGTTCAGGTCCAGGTACAGTTAGACATATTGGGGTTGAGGTGGAAGGGTGTTAAAAAGTTGCAAAAGACAGGAAATGAGCGTTTTTTGGATTAATATCCCTTCCAATGCCTGTTTCAGTCGTTTTGTGATTCAAAGCGTGTGTTCAATACATAAAAATCCGGACATAAACTCAAACGATCTATAAAAAACATATTGCATTAACGGCGGAGTAAATATAAGTCTGAAAAATTGACTTCCGTTCGCAAACTTAATGATGAACAATGTAATGTTGGAAAATCTGAAAGACTAACTGGTTATTCTACTGTGAATGTTTAACAAAACTTCAATCCATATTTTATTCATATTTCTATGTCTATGTTTTTAGATTAGAAAAAATTATGCTCATGTTTTGTTTTTTTCTATTGCAAAATAAACTACATTTCTTGTATTTGTTATCTATGATAACCGACAGGCGATATGTTGATATTGTATATCACGATACAAGACTTAATTTTCTAGATACATGTTATTTTTTTCATCGATTATATTTGTATTTTCAAAGTTCTGTCAGAGTATACCCTTTTCATTTGTTATCCTGGAGATGACATTTACCTTTGTATATGACTTTTTAATTTGAACATCTAGACAGAGCCAGTATGCATAGCAGGAAATACTTAATATCCTTATTTCATTTGTAAGTAAGATTCCGACTGCTTTTACTCCTATGTTTTCTGCTTAAATCTTGACTTCTTAAATTTCAACAAATGTAATCTTCTGTATTAAAAGACTATTGCAAGAGGAAGGGGTTCTAGTGTTGGTTAGATTGATTATTTGATTTTCAAATTAAATATGATTATTTTTCTCCTATAGTTTATAGGAACAGTTAAGACAATTTGGTTGGCGAAGTGAGATATATGTAATAAATAAATAAAAAAGCCGAAGTAGGACTATTTCTCAAGAATGTGGTTCCAATATCTCTTGTATCTTTAGTTTCAATGGAAAAGTAGTTTAAAAGCCTATTGTTGGATAGTTTAACCCATGTCAAACTATCCTCACACTTATAGTGCAGGAACTGCTTAACCTTCGGGAGCACCAGAGATCAGACCCATGTTTTGTTGTTGTTGAGTGTTGAGTCTGTGTAACTGAATCCGTGTAAGGGGCCTCGGTGGCCGAGTGGTCTAAGTAGTTGAACTACTGTATCACTAGCCTGTCGACACTGGCGGGTGAGTTCGAATCCCGCATGCCATACAGACTCAATCTTGATTGACTAGGATTGTCAGTTTTCCTACCAAAGGTCGACGGTTCTCTCCGGGCACTCAGGCTTCCTCCACCAATAAAACCTTACCGCCACAAAATAACACATTAGTGCTGAAAGTGGTGTTAAACACCAATCAATCATAACTCAATCTTTTGTTTTCTGTGTATTGTTTTTTTTGTAATTGTTGTTTGTCTTTTCGTCTTTATTCTTTTTGGTCATGGTTTGTTTGTTTTCATGGGGTTTATAATGGTGAAATACAAATCAAAATTTTGTCCCGATTCGGATTATCCTCTTACATTGACTAAGGTCTTTTTGAAATAGACAATATAAGCGGGAGTGTTCTAACTGCAGAAACATTTAGTTTCAAAATGACTGAACTAATGCCTCAATGCAATTTATAAAGGCAGACCAAAAAGGTTTTCCTTGCTGAATGTGAGCTGTTTTTAAAAGCAAACATATTATGCAGTTCCATACTAGTCAACTATATTTTGATGGTGACCGAAAAGCTTTTGAATAATTGAAATCAACCAAATAATTTATTGAATTCTTAAAGACGCCTAGAACCTGTAATTTGTATTTGACATTTTTAAGTATTCATTAAAAAAATAAACAAAATGGACAAGTTTAACCAAAACAATATCTGAAGTAAAGCTGTACGTATTGACTATTAAGAATCAATTTAATTCATCTTGGTTATAAATAGCCTTCGATTCAAAAAATTAAAACTAAGTAAAATTTGTATCAAAATTTGCATTCAACAATAATTTGCAGTGATTAATTATATCTTTATTAAAGAATATATGTGAATGAGTTGAAAAATATTAGTTACCTTTTAATTTCAACCTCAGATAGTTTTTCTTTATGTTTCTCTTGTAAGGGTGTCCGTTTACCAGGGCTATGTCCGTTTGATAACCATTCACGTGATTGAAGCTGATCGTCCAGGTCTGCCAAGGCACAATGGTGACTATTTAATCCAAGATTGCACGCCCGTTTTCTGTAAAGAAACAGATCTTACTTTGAACACCAAAGCGACAGTTTTTATTTAATCAAAAACATAAGGCATACAATTATATCGGTCTTTTTCTTTATGTCAGGAATCATTTGCTGCATTATTGTAAAGCTCGACGTTCAACCCTAAATCACCAAATATTTCAATCCAAGAAGAAATAGTGATCACTTATTTTGAGATAAAGTTCCATAAACCATAGCATAGAAGGAGAAGGCATGCTAATAGACCAATAAAATTCCAAATAAAGTAAACAAAATTCATTCTAATGAAAAATATGTAATTTGTTTTAATAATGAACTGGATGAACATGTAAATAAAGCAATGACATTTGTGATATCATTGTGCCAAAATGAATGTGTCAATTTTGTTTGAAGTACAATTGGTAATAGGTTTATTAAAAAACTACCAGTAGCCTTACAGTTCAAGAAATTTTAATCACATCTAATATTGTAAAATACACCTTGCAGCAAATGATTTTTTGTAAAAGGCTGTTGATTATATCTAAATGTTATTAACAGGAATTCAAAATAAAGCAAATTCGACATTTTTCATTCAAAATACAGGAAGTCTAAATAGACAGACAGTAAATATTTGAAGCAACAGTAGTTAACCGATGTTCAAATCTTACAAATCCATTGAGAAGATACTAATTGAGGTATTAACCCTAAAAATAGCAAACCCGTGCGCGTCGAAAAGGTAAGCGTCTACTGTTAAGCATGCAACATGCAAAAAAGTAAACACTGATATCTGAAAGATTTAAGTCTTTTGAATCAGCGCTAATATATAGATTTATAACACTTTGTGATTATCGATTTTTCATCAAGTATTTTATTTGAATTTAGATTTAAATTAAGCAAGCAATACCTGCATTTTACTTAATATATCTGAATCATACCAATATAATTGCCACTGAACATAATTTGAATAATTGCCCGACGTTTTTGTTCGTCAAATAAATCATTATAGAACATAAATAGTCGCTCCTAATAATGACCACATATATGAATTAGTTTAAACAATACTAATCTTGAAGCATCTTTTTATACGAAAAATATGAGGTGTGTAAGGTGTGATCCTTACATCATCACACATACAAATCATGAGTATAAGTACTGTTCAACTGATATATAATAGATTTTTTTCTTACATATCCTGGGCGTATTAACGTTTAGACGAACGTACACCTCTTATTTTAGCTGTTTGTTTCGAACGCTCATCACATCCAAGGAAACATATCCACATGGTTGAGCTTGTTACAGTACCCCTATCCATTATTAACGATGACGACAGAATGACAAATTATCCGTTATTAAGCAAATACGGAGAAAGTCCAATTCGTGTTGAGTTTTTTAAAACTCACCATTGTCTATTAATGTTAAAGATAAAACGTCATTTCAGAAATTTAGATTCCCACCAGAATAAGAAATTTTGTAAGATGGGGACAAATATTAGCTTTCAAAAGGCCAGCTATGGACCGCTCAACGAGTTAGGATTGTATAACGTGCAAAGAGCATTTGATTTAACGTCCCAAATCTAAATGAACATGTCTGTGAATTATGAATCCAGTACAATCGACAGGGTGTCAATATTAAGCAAGTGTTTAACTGCCAGACGGGAGAAGTCATAGTGGCCATATTTCTATACCCAAGTAAAACTTTCTGGTTTTGTATTTAGAAGTATGATAAAATTGCACTGAACAGTATAGATTCACATAATGTTGATCGGTCAATATATATCAAATATATTTAAGTGCATTTTATTCCTTTAAAGCTGATAAATTTAATATTTATTGAAAATCTGTTATTTCGGTTATACAGTACAATTGTTTAATGTCTAGCACAAAATGTTAAAATAATTGTTGTGAAGGACATATAATCATATCTTTACTGCAATTTAATAATAAGGATATCAGTAGCTATAATAATTGAATTTATCTAAAAATATTAGCATTCACATAGGAACTAAAAAATAATTACAAAATATCTTTCACATCATCAAACTTATCATCCTCATTCGAGACTTAGTTTGAGTTTTATAGCTTTAGACTCCTAACTGCATTTGACATCAATGCTATGTTCTTACAAGTCAGTCGTAATATTATCTGATTTTATCATAACTTAATATGCAATAAAATATATGAATAGAAAATTATCTATTTTAGGTTAATTACCGATTTCTGATGTTAGATATATAACAATTGTCGTGGGAATCGTTTAGAGGCTGTCTGTCCTTTATGTAATTTTCATTCCAGAGATAACGGGCAGGAGGTCGGACAGAAAATATACGTTACCTTCTTTCTTTAATAAAACAAAATTTTTTTAATGTAGATTCTCTTTCTTATAGATGTTCGGGATTTTTATTCAAAAGAGGCATGAACCAATACTTTAACTTCACATTTTCTAACGTAAACATAATATAATAAAACAAAGGTATGTTGTGGTGATATCAAAATGCATCAATGCTATGTTCAAAATCACTGACAAGTGTCGGAATCACTGACAAGTGTTAGTTTTGAAGAGAAATTGTGAAGTAATTCCATTCCAAATTTAACAAATACTGAAAATAATGAAATTTCTATAAAATCATATTGAATAAATATTCTCAAGTTTCTTGAAATCATGTATGTTTAACGACCTACTCATGCATGAACTGTAATATAAACATTTAATGTTTAGAAAGACTGACGTTGCCGTCATTAACATCAGACTTTGATGCAAAAATAACCAAAATCTAAACTCAAACACAATAAATTTTAAAAACCTATCCACCATTGAGGATGCACATTTACAAAGAACTCTGATTCCCCTCAAAACTAGATTTGCCGACACCGTCATATGAACTAGTTCTTCTTTTTTTATTTGCTCTTCAATTCGATATTGAAGTTTTGTAAATATAGATTTTGGGTATCTTCTGACAAGAAAAGACGTGTTTGTTACTACTAAGATTAAATGACGGCGATCAACTGGTTGTTTTATGTTTAAAAAAAACCTATAAAACAATACATATATGAAAAAATTCAGTGATTAACAAAACTGTAATTGGTTTCCTGATATTTGTGTAACGTAACGTCAAGTGTCAAACCGTGCATGTATCGCCAGGAAGAAACCCAAATTGAAAAATACATACATGTAAGTAGGTAGATATAATTGCAAAAGGAGTCGAAATATATAGGGATTGTCACTGGAAATGAAGGGGATGTGAGTTAAAGCAGGTCACTAAAGGTTGAGCAGGCCACTAAAGGTTGAGCAGACCACTAAAGGACCTTCACAGTGGTACTCAAATACATAATATTTAATATTCTTACTTTTGTGTGGTCAAATAATTATCTAGACCGTCCACTGTTGACATCATAGAAGAAATATCGTTTTGTGCTTGGTTTAGTGATTCCATCAACCTAAAATAGACAAGAATTTTAATTACTACTTTAGCACATTAAGTTCATGAAAGAAGGTAAAAAGGAAGTAAAATGATTAAAACTTGAAACACAGACTAAATTATATTTTGTCACGTCATGTGTTCTGCAGACACGACCTTTAAGAAAAACCTTTCAATCGTGTAATGAAGGAACATATTTGTGACCATTGTTGTATCTAAAGAGGCATGGGGATCAAATATTTCCGGACTCAAATGGTAAAATCATTCAATCTTGTAATGAAGGAACATATTAGTGACCATTGTTGTAAAGAGGCATGGGGGATCAAATGTTTCCGGATTTGAATGGGCACCAGTAGATTTTCTCATAAGTTTTTATTGTGTTTCAAACTATTAATTTAACTGATGTCAATTAATAGACAGATGAAATATGACATATAGTTAATAATACGGCAAATACAATTGTCAAATATGTATGGCCGTACATGAACGTACAAAATTTTGTCTTTTTTAACATCGGCGTTTTGGCTGTCTTTTATAAGTGAGTATTCTCACGAATTATAGTATCTCCCATGAAGACAAAAAGTACATGTAATCCCTTTCCCTAATTAAGATATATGTCTATGTCAATTAATACATTTTATAACTTTGTTTTACAGTATTTTTCTTTGATCCTGTGTCAGAGCTAATGTCACACCTTTAATTATATGAGTTAAGTGTTAATTTAAGAGAGTTTGTAAACTGTTAATGCATAGGTACGCATCACGTTATATAAAGTTGGGAGATGTCAGCGTCTTTCATTATGTAAATATATTTAACTCCTCTCCAAAGGTTTTCAATTTACTTATATGAACTTATTGATATGTAAAATTACGTAAATTGAAGCTTTTCCGGCCCAAAGGACACGTAAGAGCTTTATTATCGTAATCATGTAATCTCCGTTTTACCAAAACACACTCCACAGAAAATTTTTTATAAAGCAACTATTTCAATGTAGCATGAAGGTACCCAAATTGCGCCTATTTTTTTCAGTTTTTCATCTACGTTTTTTCAAGAAACAGACAAGTGTTTCCATTCTGTTTTTATTTTGTGGATGTATCCTTATCTACTATATATTTCAACAAGTTTAATTTTAAATTCATTCTGAATCATTGAAAAACGGGTTTAAACCATACGACCAATAATTCTGTAATGAGGAGTTATACCTTAATTGCACCCATGCTTAAATTCATGTCCATAAAAATCGAACAACTGACGTTTTGTTTTATTTTTCCAAATTTTTAGAACAATTTGACAATAGTCCATTCTTACTATTCATGGTATGTGGTGTGCTTCGACGAAAAGCTGAAACTATCATTTTTAAATTCTCCTGTTTGCTACGACTGTGTTTTGCACCAACGACCTCCTGCACATATTTCTAGCACCTTACCACCTGTCTACCGATAATGTTTGTTTTTAAAAGCATTGTTTAAAATGTATTACTAGTTTTCTTTGCTGGTCGATGAAAATATATCTTCCAAAAAGTCATACTAGATGTCAACGCAAGTATCCTGATAATTATTCCAAAACCATCGAGTCTAATATTAACTAAAGTTTGCAGTATTGTATCATTACAAGCTGTCTTTTACACAATATTTGGTTTCTATTCGATTTTGATCATTTTTTTATAGAACTTTCAAGCAAATAATGAGTTCCATTTTTTAAATTAAATTGACATTTGCAATCTTCGACCTGACTAGATATACAAATTAATTAACCAAAGACTTATTAAATATTATTTGAAGACAAACCATGAACATTTTTGCTAAATCATTTGATCCTGAGTCTATTTTGTTTAGCCCCCACCACGTTTAATAGGCAGATATGTCGTCGTACCATAACATATTGTCCTGATTCCGGGCAGACCAGAAATGTCTTACATTTCCGTATTTCTTCTTCCCTGACACAGAGGCGCACTTATCAATTTCAAATCATTGGTTTGACGTTCATATCCGCCCACTTTACGACAAAAACGTAACTACGGGCCATGGTGATTGTTTATTTTCTTTTTGGAAATTCAAATACTACATATTGTTAACTCTTATGTTATAAAACAGAATATGTTTAATATACCATTTCTTATCATACAGCGGTTAAAATATAATGTCTCAATCGTGGAAAACTTTATTCTTTGATTATTAAGCAGAACTGTTTCATATGAAGTTCTCTCATTTTAAACGGTGTGTTGTGTGCTTAGACGAAAAGCTAATGTAAATATCCGTTTTAAATTCTCCTGTTGTGACACGACTGTTTTTCGCACAAACGACCTCATGCACATATATCTACCACCCAACCACCTTGACCTGTTTTTAAAGGAGGGCTTTAATATGTATTATTCTATACTGTTCGATGTAAAAATCTATCTTCCACAATGTTGGTCATACTGGATGTCAAGACAAGTATCCGGATATGAATTCCAAAACCAACAATCAAAGCAATATTCCTGTCGAAGTTAGTTCAACAATTTATTAAATCTTTCACATAAATTGTCTCTATAGTAATCATATTGGACGGTGGTGGGTCTTTTACAATAACGTTGAAGGCAACCATCAAAGTGATTATTTCTCCCTCATGAATGTTTTATAAAAACGACTTTCTGATGATTATATTGTTAGGCATATATATTGAACCAATGCATGCATATATACTCAACTAAGTCCTCTATGCATGTTTTTAATACATGTATTACAAAGCCATTATGTGAAATCGACAAAAATATTTCATTTGGTAATTAATGATCGAAAACGTTAGCTGCTAATTGGCTCTTGGGTTTTTGTGCCGACGTTTACCGATCGTGACCTTGATACACTAAACACAGAATCATGGATGTTGAGACAATTACGTGCACATCAAATGAAATGATACACCTATGTTTATTTGTTATTCGTTAATATTTTTATGCGTTCCCAATTGTTAATTAATCTCTGTCTCGAAATTTGTTAAATGATTTAGAATATTATCCCCCCCCCCACATTTACAATCGGTTAATATTACCTTTTTTCAGCGTTTGTTCAATTTTTCTTCCACCACAGGGTTTCTTTTCGCGTCATCACATATATTAATTTAATAGTTGAGGTTGAATTCGGCTGTAAAACTACCTACCGCAAGTGTTTTGACTCCGGATTCATTGACATTTCATTCGGAATTTTTGTGAACGAAAACCGGTAGTGTGCATGCGTGTGAACAGGGTGATGTATAATGTGAATGAATCAAGACGTGTAGGAAAGCTGGTCAACATAATGAATAATATTTTCAAAATCGTACCATAGGACCAAAATTTAGATGCTATAAGGTTGAAATATTGAAACAAACAAACAAAAATTTGAAATTTTATAATTAACATACATTCCTGTTAGTGATTTTTTTCCCGAAAATTTAGAATATAATATCAGTAAACACAAACGTCAAGTATTTACGGACGGACATTTTGTTTATCAAATCAATCTCTTTTTAAAGTCTAACATTCCACTATATGTATATATTGCTATACAAAATATAAGCAGAGACTTATAGAATAATTAACATTATGATAGTAATTAAATTTTGTTATAATTATTGTAAAATATTAATTACGTTTTTTGTGATATGCAAGGATTTAAAATCCCTGTGAATTGAAACCATGCAAGTGTTTTTTTCATTCACAACCGTTTAAAATTTAGATATTTAGCTAACTTTGGGTATGCATCCCTGCTCATTGGTGCTGATACGTTGCATATTATGTTCATTAATGTGATGACTGTTCAAACCTGTGAGACATAATGCACGTTTATATGACGATTTTAATTGTATTCTATCAAGAATAAATTAATTCTCAGTTTAAACTTAATAATTTAAATTCTCCCTCATGAATTCGTCCGAATTTAAAACATTTCTATTCTAAATACATGGCTAAATAAGAGACAAGTCATAATTTAGGTTTGTTTGCTCGCAGTAACTTCCTTATTTTCTCAGCGAAACAACATTTAATATCTTGTAAACATTTTACAAATTACAAAAATATACCACAATTCCATCTATATACATTCACAATGTCCTCTAAATACATATCAATACAAACATAACTGTAATATATTATGCAGAGCTTAACGTTAACTTCGTCTATCAAAGTTACTGGAGCACATCGATAATAACCAAACGTAATCAGGACTTATATATGCCTATAAAACCCCACCCGTACTACCGCCCTCGAATTATTCGTGCAGAAAACAACAGTAACATCAGACCACTTCTGATTTACATACTAGCCAAACTTGTACCACAAGTCTAAAGATAGAAATAGAATAGGGAAATTCCAAATATAACGGAATAGAAATAAATTTAAATTCTCCCTCATGAATTCGTCCGAATTTAAAACATTTCTATTCTAAATACATGGCTAAATAAGAGACAAGTCATAATTTAGGTTTGTTTGCTCGCAGTAACTTCGATAAAACAAAGGAATAAATAATTTGAGAACTATATGCCAAGATTCAAGGAAACAGCCATTTGAGATTTTAAATTGTCTTTAATATACCCATCTTTGGCTTTATCCGAAGCCCATCTACCGTGGACTTTAAGTAACCTATCAGAGACTCCTCTATTAGCCCCCGTAGAAGCGCCACCACTTCTCAAACTATGAAGCCCAAACTTAAGCTTATCTAAACCAATATCTGATAAACTCTCTAACAAAATTTCTCTCGCTCTGGTATAGGACAATGGACTATTTATATTACATAATTTATAAACATCTTTCAATTTCATAAAAGACAGTGCTCTGAAAATATAGCTATCAGAATTTTTGCTCAATTCAGCTAAATTGATATACTTATTTAACCAAAAAACTGGACATAAATCTGTACCTGTAGCAGCTATAACAACAGAATTACCCCTTCTGTATAAATCAGTTTTGCTTTTATCAATGCGAATTTTAACATGACTGACTTGAAACTCAATATTATTCATCTTAATGTTAGCCAATTCACTATACCTCAAAAATCCAGAAAA